ACTAGAACTACCTCAATATAGGAATATACTAAACCAAAAGCACTACCACATTCCTGGAGAAATTGCAGAGATTAGTGCCCCCATCAAGGACTCGAAGGATACAGGGGTGGTGACTCCCACCACATCCCCATTCAACACCCCTCTTTGGCCTGCACAGAAGATAGATGGACCTTGGAGAATGATAATGGACTATAGTCAGCTTAACCAGGAGGTGACTGCAATTGGAGCTGCTATACCAGACGTGGTTTCATTGCTTGAGCAATTAACACCTCCCCTGGTATGCAGCTATTGATCTGGAAAATGCTTTTTTCTCAATACCTCTTAGTAAAGACCAGGACTTAGCTAGCCAGGTCATCAGTACATCTTCAATTCCCTACCTCAGTGGTATATCAACTCTTCAGATCTATGTCATAATTTAGTTCACAGGGATCTTGATCACTTTTCCCTTCAACAAGATATCACACTGATCTATTACTCTGATAATTTCATGCTGATTACACCCAGTGAGCAAGAAGTAGCAAATAATCTAGACTTATTGGTAAGATATTTGGGTATCAAAGGGTGGGAAATAAATCCAACAAATTCAGAGGCCTCTACCTCAGTAAAATGTCTAGAGGTCCAATTGTGTGGGGCATGTCAAGATATCCCTTCTAAAGTGACAAATAAGTTGTTCCATCTGGCTCCTTCTACAACTAGAAAAGAGGCACAAGACTTAGTGGGCTTCTTTGGATTTTAGAGGCAATTTATTCCTCATTTGGGTGTGTTACTCCTGCCCAGTTACCCAATGAGCCAAAAAGCTGCTAATTTTGAATATGGCCCAAAACAAGAGAAGGCTCTGGAACAGGTCCAGATGGCTGTGCAAGCTGCTTGGCCACTTGGGCCATATGAGCCAGCAGATCCAACAGAGCTTGAAGTTTCAGTGGCAGATAGGGATACTGTTTAGAGTCTCTGGCAGGATCCTACAGGTGAATCACAGTGCATGCACTTGAAATTGTGGACCAGAGATTTGCCATCCTCTGAATAATAATTATCCTTTTGAGAAGCAGTTTTTGGACTGCTGTGGGCCTCAGTAAAGACTGAGTGCTTAACCACAGGCCACCAAGTTATCATGCAATCTGAGCAGTCCATCATGTTACCTGACTCACCAAACCATAAATTGTGGTGTGCACAGAAGAATTCCATCATAAAATCGGAGTGACATATACAAGATCAGGCCTGAGCAGGCACTGAAGGCACAAGTAAATTATATGAAGAAATGGCTAAAATGTCCATGGTCCCCACTATTGCTACACTATCTTCTCTCTCCCAGTCTGCGCCTATGGCTTCATGGGGAGTTCCCTACAATCAATTGATAAAGGCAGAGAAAACTCGGGCTTGGTTTACAGAAGATTCTGCATTTTGTGTAGGCATCATCTGAGAGTGGACAGCTGGAGCACCACAGCCCCTGTCTGGGGCATCCCTGAAGGACGGTGGACAGCGGTGAAGAAAAATCCTCCCAGTGGACAGAATGTCAAGAAGTGCACCTGGTTGTTTACTTTGCCTGGAAGGAGAAATGACCAAATGTGATTACATATTAATTCATGGGCTATCTCCAATGGTTTGGATGGATGGTCAGAGACTTGAAAGAAACATTTTTGAAAAATTGGTGACAAGAAAATTTGGAGAAGAGGTACATGGATAGACCTCTTTGAATGGGCAAAAAACATGAACATATTTGTTTCCCATGTGATTGCTCACCAAAGGACGATCTCAGCATAGGAGGATTTTAATAATCATGTAGATAGGATGACCCATTCTGTGGATACCAGTCAGATTCTTTCCCTAGACACTCTTGTCATTACTCAATGGACTCATGATCAAGGCGACAATGGTGACAGGGATGGAAGTTATGCCTTAGTTGAGCATCATGGACTTCCACTCACCAAGGCCAACCTGGCTATGGCCACTGCTGCATGCCCAATCTGCCAGCAGCAGAGACCAACACTGAGCTCCCCATATAAGACCATTCTTCAGGGTGACAGGTTGATTACTTTGGACTCCTTCCTCATGGAAGAGACAGAATTTTATTCTTATTGGAATAAACACTTACTCTGGATAACAATTTGCCTCCCATGTATTCAGTGCCTCTGACAAAACTACCATCCACGGGCATAGAGAATGTCTTATATACCACCATGGTATTCTACACAGTATTGCTTCCAATCAAGGCACTCTTCACACCAAAAGAAGTGTGGCAATGGGTCCATGCTCATGGAATTCCTTGGTCTCACCATGTTCCTTACCATCCTGAAGCAACTAGCTTGGTAGAATAGTGGAATGGCTTTTTAAAGACTCAGTTACAACGCCAGCTAGGTGCTAATATCTTGCAAGGTTGGGATAAGGGTCCCCAAAAGGATGTAGATGCTTTGAATCAGCATCCAATATATGGGACTGTTTCTACATTAGCCAGAATTCATAGGCCCAGGAATGAAGGGGTAGAAATGGGAGTGGCGACACTCACTATTACCCCTAGTGACCCACTAGCAAAATTTTTGCTTCCCATTTCAACAACCTATGCTCCATTGGCCTAGAGGTCTTAGTTCCAAAGGCAGAAATGCTTCATATCAATGATTTATTGAACATACGAATGATTTATTGAATTGAAAGTTAAGACTGCCACCCAGCCACTTTGGACTCCTCATGCCTCTGAATCAACAAATAAAGAAGGGAGTTACATTGCTAGCTGAGGTGACTGATTCTGATTGCTAAGGGGAAATTGGACTATTGCTCCACAATAGAGGTAAGGAAGGCTATATCTGGAATACAAGCGATCTCTTAGGGCAAGTCTTAGTATTACCATGCCCTGTGATTAAAGTCAATGGAAAATTATAACAATCCAATTCAGGCAGGACTACTAATGATTCCAACCCTTCAGGAATAAAGGTGTGGGTCATTCCCCCAGGTAGAGAACCACAACCAGCTTAGGTGCTTCCTGAAGGCAAAGGAATCCAGAATTGTTAGTGGAAGAATGTAGTTACGAATACCAGCCATAACCATGTGACTAGTTACACAATGATGACTGTAATTGTCCTAACTATTTCCTCCTTCTTTTGTTATGAATATGTTTGTTTGCAGAGATTATATATGTATATATATATGTGTAATATATATCTTATATGTTAGATTATATAGATCTTTGTTTTCTTCCCTCTCTTATCCCTTTATGATATACAATAAGATGAACTAACTTTATATCACAGTATTTAAGTATTTTTAACTTTACATTGTATTATTTAAGTTACAAGATATCAAGAAGAGTACACATCAACCAAGGATTTTGCACTCTCTTCTGGTGAAATGGTTAGTGCATTTTCAGTTGTACACATGACAGTTATACTCTGTTAGGAGGAAGTACAACCTTATTATTGTCTTTATTTGGAGATTAAGTATGATTTTAGGAGATGTGTTATGGGTGCCATTTTGATAAGCAGTAGACTCATGATGGTTAATCTTATATGTCAATTTGGAAGGTGTTTTTGATGAGAGTAACATTTAAATCAATGAACTTTGGGTAAAGCAGATTGCTCTCCCTATGTAGGTAAGCCTCATCTAATCAATGGAAGGCTCGAATAGAAAAAAAAGACTGAATTCTCCGAACAAGAGAGAATTCTCCAGCAGACTGCTTTCAGATTTCATCTGTACTGTCAGCAACATGGGTCTCCAGGTTGCTGGTCTTCAGACTGGAACTGCACCATCAGCTTTCCTGGGTCTCAAGCTTGTCAGCATACACTGCAGATTTTAAAGTTGTCAGCCTCCATAATTGTGTGAGCCAATTCCCTGTAATATATTTTTTACTATATGTACATACATCCTATTGGTTCTGTTTATCTGAAGTACTCTGAGTAATACAGAAGCATAGGCTTTTAGTTTTAGTTTATTCACTGAATAGGAAAGACAAAGAAGAGAAGCTGGAGGAAGAGCCAGGCTTTGGGTTATAATTCTTGCCAACTCTGTGATGAACCTATTCGCTATATCACCGCCTCACTCACCAAAGCCCGACAATACATTTTTCATTCTGAAACGCAAGAAACATGACTCTTCTTTTCAAATTCTCAAGGTGATGTTTGAAAATTGTGGATAAAAATGGAAGCTTGAAAGGATAAGAAGTCTCATTGGAACTTTATTCTGATGGATTGTTCCAGAAAGTATAAGGAGCGAGAATTTGATTGCCCATTTCTGGACAAGAGGTTTCTACATATTGAGGTGCTTCTTGCCAAATGTTGGCCTAATTAAGCCTGAGAAAGCCCATTTCTCTGCAGGCCTGGAGCTGCTGAATAAAGACAAGCCGCACAGCAGCATTATGAGAATTCATTATCATGCTGGCAAGACTCCTTTATTAGCAGTTGTTGGGAGGACACCTGGCTAACTGGGGTTTACAGGATGTATGATTTCTGCAACATTGCAGCTGGAATGTTAAAGAGTGTAATGCAATTTCTGGAGGGAGATGCTCTGCAGTTGCCAAGTCTTAGTGTTTCATAAGGTTGCCAAAACCAATAACCCTCTTCTTCATGTTTAGAGTGTTCTGCAAAGCAAATGAAGCACTTGAGGTGGTGGTGATGGACTGATTGCTCAAGCTAGTAACAGCAGTTAATAAGATCAGGCCATCAAACAAACTTCCCAGGACTGATCTCCATGTGTTTCCTAAAAAACAAACAAACAAACAAAACCACACGGTACATACAACATAATCACACTCTATAAATAACCCAGGGCAAAAAAAATCCTTCCTCGCTACCCCTCTCCTATTCTCAAATTAAATTTGGAGTAATTTCAGTTTGAGCCTTGAAACTAGCTTCATTTGTCTCTCTGTAAAACACAATAATTCTTTTGTTCCAACATTCTCTGATCAGAAGATATCATCAGCCTGGCTCCTGGATTATCCACTTATTTGCAAAGGATTTCATATGTACTATGCAGATTATCTAGGTCAGTTTCTTCTTTTTTAAAAAGCAAATTTAAACTTTGTTGTTAACTAAAATGAAAAAAACTAAAATTAATTATATGATTGTTATTATTCTGGAACAAGCTATATTAAATCTTAGCAGTTTTATACAGGTAACAAACATAAGCTTCCAAGATCCCTGATAGTAAACCAGGGAGAAGAGTTGCAATTTCTTAGAGCTTCCTCTATTTTTCTCTCTTTAACTTCTAGTATGTTCTTTTACCATTTTAAACCAAAGGACTTTTTGAAATAATCATACTTTATGGGTTAGATACTGCGTTTGCCACTATATGTAGCCCATCAAAGTTATAAAGTGATAATACTTGAATTTTTCTGTAAAGGATAACTTTTATCTACATTTCATACATCTATTTTATTCCTTATATATGTTTCCTGTTCCATCATACCCAGAGGTCATTGCTTTTTTTAATGTCTCAATTCAATGTAGTTTTTTAAGTAAGACCAGAGGATGAGTATATATATATATCTTTTCAGTGGGAGCCCAGCCTCATAAGAGATATCAAGATACTGTGTGCTTATAAAAATAGCATTTAGTTCATATACATATATATATATTTATTTAGTGTATTATATGCATCCACAATTTTAAAAGAAATCACACCTAATAAATACAATCTTTTATTATGATAAAGATTTTTTTTAAATCTTTGCTAGCTCTCCAATTACTTCTGAACTGACCTTATGATATTTTATCTTTCTCTTTCAATATTATTCCTAGCTCATCAATCAATGTTTTTTTTTCTGTTCAATGTCAGTGAGAAAAGTAGTGATGCAGCTGCAAATGATGAATCATGAGCAAGCTTTCCCCATTTATATCATAAATATGACAGTGCAGTGCCTGCAGACAGTGTTATTTCCGGTCCCCATTCTTGGACACTGAGGTCAATAAAATTGCTACTAGCCATAAAGCATGGACATGAGACACACTTGTGTGCAGTGAATCTTCTGACTAGAGAATGAATTACTGTGTCAGGATGACAAAATCAGGGCATCCAGGGCCTCTTGGTAGGAATCTGATTCTTCTCTATTTTGAGCTTGTTCCTTACATATCCTTTTCATGATTTCCCATAACACCCTAAGACTTGGTCTATTTACTTCTTTCACCACTACTAGATAAAACTTTGCCTGGATTTCTCTACTTCCCTTGAGCTGCATGCACAATAGTTCTCCGAGTCAACTTCACCTCTTTGACCACTCTCAGAAGCAAGCACAGCCTGCCACATCTTTGAATTCTGTTTTAAGTCTTCTATCACTATGTATTATAAGAAACAGCTACTGATTAGGACTGACAAGGATTCTCTCCCTGACCAAACTCTACTCAGATTCTTCTGTACTCTCTTTTCAACTAGGCCCTGACATTTCAGCTTCTGTGTTTGTCTCTGCATTTTCTGATTTTAGCAAGAATCCTGCTAAGTCAGTTTACCCAGAATCCCCCATCATCAATATCTGATCACCCTTGATATCTGATCAGGTTTCTCATTCTCTACCAACCTCTAGATGGTGTGTGATCATTTTGACCTGTCTTCAGCAAAAATCCTCTTAGCCAAAATCCCTCCTTACCCCTGATGTTTCCTCTTAGTAATTTTCCATCTGCTGATCCCCATCCTGCTCCTTGGACATAGATTCCCTTTTTCCTTGTTGTATTTGGAATTGAACCCAATCCCTCTCCCCCTAACAGTGGTCCATTACAGTGGTCCCTAAATCTATTCTGATAATCCCCCTGACTAAAGTTTGCTTTATTGTCTTTAACAAGGTTCATGAATAACTTTAACAGTTTGCATATTTTTTTAACAGAAACAGTAAACATCAAAAAAAATTATAAAATCTTTAAGTCTCAAATCTGAAACTCTCTAAATTTTCACATAGTCTTTTCTGTCATTCCCTTTCTAAAGCTTCTTTAATACCATAGTGACTCTACAAATATAGAAATACCTGGTGAACATGTATGGCTCAAAGAAGAGATAAGCCATACACTTCATGTTTCTCCTTCTAAACTTCCTGGAACTCTTGACAGCAAGAAAGAGTAGCCATTTAGCATATTTTATGCACCCCAGGGATCAGATGGGATCTATTCATTTATTCTTCATTTTTGGCTCCTTCTGCACATGCCGTTCCATTTGACTGATGTTCTGGTTATCCTTCCTTCGCCCCATCCCTGCTCACCAGCAGGATATTGTAGGGATGTAAAGAGAGCCCTTACCCCTTCCTGTCTACTACGCCACAGTTTTCTGACCTGGTTCCATCAGTTACAGCTTCTGTCTGGGACTTCTCCCCTGGCTCCAGATTCACTGGTTTTGGATGATACCTTTGACCTGCTATGTCAGGACTAATAAACAGTAAGGGCTTTGTGTTGATTCTACTTCCTGTGTGCCTCATCATTGCCCTGTTGATTACTTTAACCCTGCCCAAACCTCTTTCAACAGTTCTTGCCTTAAATTATTTTCAGTTAAATTTTCTTGAATGTGCCATCAGTTTCAAATTTTTTTGAATGTGCCATCTGTTTCCTGATAGAACCCGTACTGAAATATCTAGAATGCCTCTCCCTTTGCCTACCCTGGCCCCTTTCATGTAATTAAATCTTCTTTTTTGTTCAATTCTAGCTCAATCATTACTTTCTCAGAAAAGTTTTGTCTCAATTCTCAGACTAAATAATTTCACTACAACTGCTCCCAAAAATACACGCTAACTTTTCTTAAAAAGTTCGAATATTATATTTCTTTACGTAATTATTTTATTGTCTACCTTATTTAACTCTATTCTCTATGAAAGCTGGGTCCAGGTCTCCCTTGCTCATATTATATTCCCAGTGTCTAATCATGCCTTCTGGCATATTGTGGACACTCAATAAATAAGTTGAAAGAAAAATTGAATAAGTAAATGAATTGCTATTCTGACTCAGGTTAACATGCACTATTTTCTCTTATATGAGCAACTCCCTAGGCATTCTATTTTTCTGAATTAGTTAAGTTGGGCCACTTACTGACTTTTTTCTGATTATATTTCAGTAAAAGATATTTTTCAAAATAAAATAAAAAAATTCTTTTGAGGAAAAAAATAGGTTGTACAGGCTAGCAAAGAAATCTTTAAAAAGATAACTGTACTCATTTGAGTGTGGTGGTTTTGCTGATCAAAATATTTCTTTGTCAATATAAGCATCATTACTTAAAATGGCTAAGGGCAAGTCTAGGCAAGTCTCAAGAAATTTCTGCCACAAGAGACTGATCAGGCCTCTAGATCATTTGACCTTTCCAGATCCTTGTAAATGTCAGGATGCAATTCCCTTGTAGCTCAGGCTTACCTTGGCTCTACTTAAAGCTTTATTTTTGATTTTGAATTTAGGTAGAATGCTTCCTTCCTTCTCCTTTCATTACTCTTTTCCCTGGTTATTAGTTTAGTGCATCTGTTAGATACTCTCAGTGATCTCCCTGTATATCTAATTTAATTCCCCAGTAATTGTAATGTAATTCTTCCTGAGTAATACAAATGGATTTATACTCATTTCCCAACTCCACACTCAGTTTCTTATTTACTCTGAGTACAAAAAGAATGTAATCCCACTTCAGAAATTTCCTTCATCTTGTTTATCTAGTGGCTCAGCTTCTGGTGACAAGAAGAATCTGTTTTTGTCTTGGCCATTCACTTTGATAAAATGCTAAAATTCAGTAAATTTCTGAATAGGTATTTCCATTCATAGCAAACATAGAAAATTCCTGGTGGGAGACGTAGTTGGGACTATGATTATATCACATCACATTACTTATTAATGTAGCTAAAATCACAGTCCTTATTCTGTATTTTATTTCCTCTTCAGTTTCCAAAACACCATTCCTAAATCAGTTTTTATACCAAAATTAGTGTGGTGATGGTATAGCCTCTTCAATAATTATATAGTAACATTAAAATTATATACATTAATTAGGATAGTAAATATGATTTCTGATACCTATTTTTATTTTTTCTCAGACTAAATATTGACTAGACAATAAATTTTTAAAAATTAACTCCCATACCATCAGCAACAGTTACAGGGGAATAATCTCTATAGACTAGAATTTATATTCACATTTTTTGAATAAAAATAACAATAGCTAGAGCTTATTATGTATTGATTATTTTCCATGAACTGAGACAGGTGCTTTATATATTTGCTCTCTGCTTTTCATTAAAAATAAAGAGTTTATCTCTACTTTATAGACAGAGGAATAGAACTTAGAAAATAACTTGTCCAAGTCGTATAGGCAAAATTAAAATATAGGTCCTCCTCAATCCATAGCCTCTTTCTTATGTTGCCTTCGAAGAGTCTGAGAGGACAAACAAGGTGGTAACTAGACAGAGTGGAGACTAAATAGGTTATATGGGTTACAGGCCTGTGTTTCAATAACATCTTTATCAGTGCTTCCTAATGTGTCTTGGATACATTATTTAACTTTTCTAAGACTCAGTTTTTTCTGCAGTGAATTGAGCACAATATAAAATCTTTCTTTATATATTGCAATGAAAACAAAATACAAAAGAAAGAAAATGGACCTAGTACATAGTAGGACCTCAGTATGCTAGTTAGTATTATTGTTGTTATCATTATTTTATACTCTTTTCTCTAAGCCATGTCACTGAGCCATTAAAAATATCTGCTTTCCAGATATCAACTGTTCCCCCCGTAAGACGCCTTGGTTTTGGACTAGATGAAGTAAGCACACCTCAACCCATCTCTCCCGTTGATTACAGCTAAAATCTCTGGACAAAATATATAAAGCAAATATCTGAGGATTCTGAAAAGTTGAAGAAAAAGCAAATGAATTTTGGAGGGGAGAAAAATGTGCAGAAGCAACTTACACAGAGGTGAGTTTTCCATTTTTCTCTCTTTTTTTTTTGCCACTTTTTCCCGAAGGGTGGGCCCCATCATGGAGTTAAGTAGTATTGGTGGTGCCGAAAGCTAAAAACTCAGAGAAATCTTGCCTTTCTGGCAAGAGAACAGGGAACAGGGCTTGTTTCTGTGCAAAGAGTGTGTG